ACTATAACTTTGGGTATATCTTTAATAGACGCACCGATTTTGTTATTTTGTTGTAATAGTTAATGAATGAATGAACGAATGAATAAATGAAACGTCTTAAAAGAATTTTCATATAAATAACTTCCCCTCGAGCATGATCACCTACAGTTTAAAGTGACCGCCTTTTTCTGGCTAGAGTTCACACTGGTGGATTTGACTAGTTCCTTTTATACGTTACTCCCTGTTAAGTCCCCAAGTCAATCGTTTTCTTGAGAACAGCAATATCATATCTCAGAGAACAATAAACTATAGAGACGTTATCATTGGGAACTATTGTAATCTGAACATCATATTTGAAGAATTGTCGTTGTGACTTTTCCCAATAATAAACAGACATTTATACACACTAACTCTCGATTCTTCGTGTTCCATTAGACATTTTATTGTTGTCGATGACGTACGATTTAAAAACTATTGAACAACATTGTTTGAGCTCAATGAACACGTTTATCAGGATTATTCATATAAACAATGTTTCTGTCTTCCAAACGTGCCACATGGGTTAATAGTTAATACAGTGATACAGCCCAAGCTTTTTCCTTACCCCCGCCCCCGCCCCCCCCCCCTTGTTAGCTCCTGATATTCGCCAGTGCATTGAAGTTAAGCCTTCTGGATCCATCACGATCGGTAAATGAAATATATTATATGTAAATTACATGTCTTCTTGGACATTCTTTATTGTATTGACTGAATATCGTCACTGCGTCTGCGTCCTCCGGGTGCATGGTTCCAAGATCCAGAATATCTTCTTTCTCTTTTTTTGTTCTTTGAAGCTCTTTGAGGATATACAACTAGATTATACATTTAAGAAAATGGCGACATCTATATATTGAAACTATATTAAACAAAATATGGCATAAATTACCTATATAAGTGACATCTATAGATCAAACAACTTGAATTTAACCATTTAATAAACTTAAAAATGGGAAGCGTTCACCAGGGTCTTGTCTAGCTTGCAAATGCCATTACAAGATAACGATATACTATGACCGCATGGATTTTGAGATAAATGAACCTGAAGAGAATCACTTTGCAATCTGTTTCTAACCAAATTTGTAAATGTTTGAGCTGTTGTTATGTCATAGTGAGCACAAATAAACATCTGTTTAGCAACAAACAACCAGCAACAATACCAAACTTTTTTTTAGAAAAAATGTATTTATTGAAAACTGAAAGATTGAGGACGAAGCTCTCTTTTGAGAAGCTAAGTGGAACGAATGCAAAGAGTAGCAGAGGACTGTACATTATAAACTGATCTCACCATGATATGTAGCATACATAATACTTTTAACTAACTTCAATTTTATTGTTTTAAAAAGCTCTTAGTCCAAGGTAAATGTTTTCCATATTCCGCGTAACACAAGGCACCTATCTTACATCTGTCCATTAACAATTAATCACTCATGAAGCAGCGAGTTATAATATTTGTTCATTTCTGCGGTCCCCGTAGAAATCAACAGGCCGTTGCCAGACCACAGAACAGTCCCACGGTGGCCGCACGTTGACTTGCGTCTGTCGTAGTGTTTTTATGGGTTATATACATTTGGAAACAGTCTTTAGGTCAGGTTTGCTGTCACATCTTTGCTGTGAACACAACACAATACGAATGCTGTTTGATGTAATACCATAGCAACCTATACTACAAAAGATTAAGTTACTAATGGTCAATGTAAATAAATTAAAAATAAACAGTAACGTTTATCAACAGAAATTCAAAATTCGCCATGCGTCTGCCGTAGGAAATGTGACTAAAAAGTATCCGACCGCAGAAACTCTACGCAGAGCGTAGAAATGTTACTGACCGCAGAAATGACAGACCGCACGGTCGCCGTAGGAAATGTGACTGGGGTGTAAATGATTGGTATAGATGTCGTATTATAGAGTGGTGTAGTTTACATCTCATTTACGAATTATAAAACACTGCTTTCGTCCATTCATTTTTGGAATAGTGGTTAGGATAGTTCATGAGTATTTACTATGGTGTGGTTCGAGTCCCACTCGTTCCTAATTTTTGTTATTCTTTGAGCATATTCTGCATCAAATGGAACTGAAATTGTCTTTGACTATTCTTGTGCTAGTTTCCCTTAGGTGATTTATATAATTGATACATGTCCAGGAGACTATATTTCCCGGGTGATTCTGTCCCCGAGACAGCTTATTCTTAATTTTCTAGTCATACAAGTTCAATCGGACTATTTTTTCTGGCTGCATCTGTCCCTGAGACCATGGGGCCAGTTCTTCTAATTTTTCTATTTATGCGTGTCTAGGGGCACTATATCGTTAACTTACATCTGTCCCATTACTCGGGTGATAACATGATCGGAATCACCAGTTAAAGGCCTGTTTAATATTTCTTTAGGGGAATTCATCCAATTTTAATATAAAAAGTAACGTATTTATTATTTAGATGGGGGCCAGCGGTTAAGACAGAGAGAAAGGGAAGAGGGAAAAAGTATCTTGAATGACTTAACATATATGATGAATGACGATGAATAATGATTAAAATATTATAATGATGTAATGATCAAAATAAAGAATTAAGATTGAAATATAGGTCGTTCAATAAGTAAAAATAATTTTGCTCTAAAACTTTTATTCTTTAATGTTTTAATTTATCATTCATCATTCAGATTTATACAGAAGAAGCATTTGATATTTGCCTAAATACCCTGAAAGAATTGTTGATATTGAAAATATCGCAGAAAGGTGGTTGCTTAGCAACTCGGAAATAGGTTCAGCGGAGCAGTTTTACTCACAGCATACTGCGGAAATTTCTCTTTCAGTCTTCAATGTCTATCAAGACTGTTAACTTACATTCACACGTATATTTTAGATCCAGACTTCGAAATAATCAATAAACTGAATTTCTAAATTCATATAACCATAGGTAGTTAATCATAGCTTTACTTTTATCTTCTCACATGCAGTTACCCAATAGGCTAATATATAGAAGTTTCGCCACCCACTGTTTTCTCTTACCCCGTTTGGTTCAAAATGTTTAACATTATGTTTCATCGCAACTAAAGAGACCGTAAGAGCTTCTCTCTCGGGTGAATCTTCAAGGCGACTTTAAAGTGGCTCTTGCTATGAGTCATATTTTCGGGAGCCATTTTGCGGACACTAAACTTTGCATTCGTTCGACTTTGCTTCTCAAAAGAGCTTCGTCTTCACTTTATAACTAGTCTCTGTGCGGGTATACGGACATTAAAGACACATAAGAATGCTGTGGAGAATTGAAGTAAATGACCAAGTCCTATAAGTTATAGTTAGATATGTCTTTACGATGGAACAAATTCACAAGAAGTCGTGTATTTGAAAAAACTTAACTCAGTACCCCAGTAAGAAACTGGATATTATATCTCTGGAAAATGAAAAATGGGAAAATTTGGAGTTATAAGAATAAATTCAAGAAGCATGTCTTATCATGTCTTACATACACGTTACTCCCCCCCCCCTCTCAATCCACTCCCCCGCTCCATCCAATATTCATTTATTTCGATTATAGTTTGTATAACACATGGAAACTAACTTTAAAAAGTGAGCAATGTCATTAGTGTTGTGATAATAACGTCCCTTATACCTATTTATTACAGGTCGTGTAGACCATTGTTGCCTGATTTATAGCAAAACATTGACTTTTGCACGTTGGTGATGATGCGCCTTTTTTAATATATGAATATCTTAGAAGCGTATCAGTTAAAAAAAATACTAGAAGACCTAACATATTCTACCATGCAATGCGCCTATTCATTTGGCAATTCAATTGTAAATTTGAAAAAATATATCTTTCATATTTGTTGAGTTTACTTGCAGAAATCGCCTACTCCCCCCCCCCCCTCCATCGGAGTCCCACCATTTCCCATTAGTCTACATGGAAATGACGATTTTCAAATGTTCATCAAATTTATCATCAATTTTTGACCTATTGTACTTGAGGAAAAAATTGGGAAAATTTGGAGAGATAGTCAAGTTACGTTTCCATTGATGTTATAAGTAATTACATCTCAGGGTAAGTAAATAAAAATTCAAACCTAAAGAGGCTTTAAGAAGTAGTTCAATGTACCCTTTGCATTCGTTTGACTTCACTTCTTAAAAGAGAGCTTCGTCTAGTTTAACTAGACTCTGCACGCAGGGTAAGTTCAATGGGGAGCAAAGGTTGCCAAACTTATGGAGGGGAGTGTACATCCTGTCTTGTATGTCAATGAAATATTATTCAGACAAAGTTCGATACATGTCCAAGGACAATTTTAACCAGAAAATATGGTCCTGAATGACAGATAAAGAGACCATAATTGGTATTTATAGTCCACCCCGGACATCACATTCTAGCTATAACGGACTAAAATACCTCAGGAAATATAGTCCATCGGCCTTGTTATTCTAGATAATATAGTCCAGGACTTTATTTTCCAGGACTAACGGACCATATGAAGCACGGTCCATATTTACGTTGACAACGGTTAATACTTGAGATTGAACCTTGGGGCATCAATATTACATTGTTCTTGATAATGGTTCTTCAACGGGATGTGTTCCTATGTTGGAATTCTACATTGTAAAGAGCAGTATAAGTATGTCGACATCAAATAAAAGCAACCACCTGACCACGAGGTGAAAAACCACACGGGGTATTTTATCTTTCTCGAAAATTAGGTTATTTCGTTCTGTGTAATGCTAACAGGTAGTGATAATTAGTACGATATGATTCTAGGAACAGCATGGCTTCCCCATGGACTAATTAATGAAAGATGATATCAGAGTAATATTGGTATATACAGTATATTTATAAGAATATGGAAGCAGGTGAAGCAGGTGATTTGATCAGAGAAGTATATTCATTCAGCAATCACTAAAGAAATATGTCGGAAGCCTTATACAGATCTTTTTAAGAAAAATCGTGACCAAGACCTTTTCGCAAAGGGAATACTCTACCGAAAAAGTCGACTAAAACCTGTCGCTAAAGGACGATGGATTCAACACAAGCTAACAGGTAAAATGCTTTGGTATAATAGCCAGTGTATATCTGTTTTTTGGTATCAGATGTCTGTATATTGAGCCGTCCACTATATGAACACAGAGGTTGAATTAATACTACCATTAACGTTGCTACGCTATAATATGGGTTTGCTATTCACCTCGCGAACATCTGCATAGAATCGTATGAATAAATAGGTTTGAGGAACCAGTAAAATTAGATAACGTAAACAAAATCATAAGTATTGAAAAGCTTCATCATATGTATTCTCGCAGTGTTTACTTACGAAAAATATTCTCTGTTAATATGGAATCGTGTGATCATGTGATGAGGAAAAATCGGAAAATCTTATTGGAAACGGTTACTATGCAGAAAAATTTCAATATTACTTAAGATGAATAATCGAATCTGTTCTGACCTGATACGGAGATGCCTTTGAAAACCGTACAGTTTACAAAAGCCAATAAGTCCAGGTATGTCTAATAGATCTATTTTCCGTCAATGGATAATTCGGGAATAGATAATTTTTTAATAAATTTAATATGGTTTAAAAGGTCCAATATTATACTAGTACCTAGGCAGATGCAGCCAGGAGTCTGAGAAAGTAATAATAGTAATCTCAGTATGTATTAAGATCTACGAATCATCGAGTTCCATTGTATGCTTGTATGAAACTACAAACGTGATTGAGATGAACGATTCAAAGTTTAGCTGGCATAACGAGTATAAAGAATTTAATTTTATGGTCTACCTCGTAAGAGCGACGACCCTCTCAGTTGACCTCATCTTTTTTACGTTTGGGGCTAAACTATAATCACAAACATGACACAAGATATAATGAAAAAAAAGATCACTATGCACTGTGTTGCTATTGTGTGCTTAAAGTAAATAAAACTAGTAAACAAGTATTTTTCACTATTGTTTCGCCCTTGGTCCCATCTTATCCTTTGATAAGAGGGGCCTATCGCACTAAAATACTGAAGAATTTTTGAAAATTGCCATATACTGTATGCTACCTCTGGGGTATTATTAAAAGTATATACATGGGCATACATATGTAGTGTTATATATCATTTTAAAGCATATGATATACTCTTTCAGAATCAATAGGTTTTTAAGTCCCATTTTATAGGCTGTCATGGTTACAAGATTCCAAAAAAATACATTGGGTTTGTGCTTGGACGTGATATCACGTCATTCGTAGTTAACGTATGTGCTTTATGACGTCATATTACGTCATTCGTAGGGAATGAGTTAAACGTCGAAAGCTGACTGGATAAAAGTCATACATATTTGTGTTTTCGTTAACACTGAACAAGTACTTGCAAAATAATAATGCTTTGCATACATACACCAGTATCGTATTGATCATATTAGTGAAAAATATATAAAGATAAAAATCCATGATTTAAAGTCCATCTTTGAAGAGCAATCTAAACATAAACCGTGTTCAGTTACTTTTAAACTTCAAGTATAAATCAGCCGCTCAGAGAAATGTGTTAAATTTGTATATTCGTTCTTTATGCACACAAATTTTTTATTCGTGAATTTACAATGCTTGTAAATCTTCATTGGGGAGATACTTAGTATTTGGCCTTGTATGGCAGAACGGAATTTAAAAATATTTTGATTTTTTTTCTTTCTTTTTACGTATTTATTTGCTTTGATTTTAATTTTTTGATTGTTGACATTGAAATAAAGAACTTTTAACATGTTTTATAACATCTTGGGTATATAATACCAAGAGCAAAAGAATTTTAAACTTTGACAACTTAGTCGGAACTCGTCCCAATGTCAGGCTGTCAAAATGATGGCCCAAAGTGCCAGGAAGGGTTCAGGTCTAAAAGTTGTATTATATTTTAGTGTTAACATACTTTTAGATTCGTATCTTTTCCTTACAATCTCAGAAGATTTGTGAAAGGATTCCAAGTGCAAATAGGGGGTAAAATGGTAAAAATATTCATAGAAAAATAATACATTATTGTAAAGATCTTTAATTTTCCTCAAATAAAGTATCATGCAATTCGGGGATTTTTAGAAAAAGGCATGACAAGAAACGTGATACGTCAAATATTATAATTTTTTGTTTAGCTCGCTCGCTAGATCTGGTTTTCTTTCTCATGGATCAAAATGTGGCATTTGCACAACATGTACATGTGGTGTTTGCAAAGTAAAATCAAAAGCCTCGTAACACAATTAAATCTCCAGCTGACAACACGCAGCTTGTCGCGATCAGACTTTTATTTGCAACAGCATAAGCAGTGCATGTGTGTTTGAATAGAGTGCCATAGAACTTTTTTACATACTGAACTCTATAGAAAACCCATTAGTAAATCAATACAACTGAATAAGAGAAAGAAAATGTGAATTTTCAAGAAATATGCAAGTTTTACAAATAAACCACACACACCCTTTAATTTCATCCCATCGTCCATCAAATATCAACCCATTTAAACGAAGTGGTAATTATCGGTTCAAATCGATTTAACCTATTTCGAAATTGCAGAAAATACATGGAAATATTTATCAAGCGTAAATACTTCAATAAAGGATTAACTGTTATCAATGATGCGGCACAAACGGCAGAACAAATTCATAAATAACCATTGAATAACAATAGATAAATAAATACACAATAACAAATGAACTGAACACAGTTAATGTTATTTTGCTTTATATATTATTATAATTTCTGATTAAAAGCATTTGAGAGGGCACTGTGACCAATTAGGAAGGTTAAATGGACTGGTTGAATAAAGAAAGCAAACTTGTAGGCCAGAAAAGAATGAGTCAAAAATCCTTTAATGTCTGTTGGATGTAGTGTATTTTTATTCATAAGTTTATTGACAGTAACATGATTATAACTCTTGCTCTTAATTTGAGTGATCGATCAGTTGCTGAGAAAACGCTTGTCAAAAAGCGCATATTATGTGATGTCGATATATCATGGTTTTTTGTCGTTTGAAATATATACATTGTGTTTTCCACATATTTCGTGACAATAATGCAATCATAACTAGACTTTGGAAATTGAACAAGTTCAATTTCAGACTCCAGATGACAGATTCGTTTACGCTGAGTCATCTAGAATAAGCCGAGTCATCCAGAATAAGCTGAGTCATCCAGAATAAGCCAAGGCATCCAGAATAAGCTGAGTCATTCAGAATAAGCTGAGTCATCCAGAATAAGCCGAGTCATCCAGAATAAGCTGATGGATGGATGAATGGATGGATTGATAGGATAGGAAGGATAGGACAGAATAGGAAGGAAGGATAGGATAGAATAGGAAGAAAGGATAGGTAAGGATAGGAAGGATGGGAAAGAAGGATAGGATTGGATAGGATACGTGGGATGGATATAGCCGAGTGATCCAGAATAAGCCAAGTCATCCAGTCATATCCCTCTTTCCTATCCTTCTTATCCTATCCTTCCTATCCTATCCTATCCTTCCTTCCAGAATAGGAAGGAAGGATAGGATAGGATAGAATAGGAAGAAAGGATGGGATAGTATAGGATAGGAAGGAAGGATAGGATAGGAAGGATAGTAAAGAAGGATAGGATTGGATAGGATAGGCTAGGTGGGATGGATATAGCCGAGTCATCCAGAATAAGCCGAGTCATCCAGAATAAGCCAAGTCATCCAGAATAAGCTGAGTCATCCAGAATAAGCCGAGTCATCCATAATAAGGGGACGGATGGATGGATGAATGAATGGATTGATAGGAAGGATAGGACAGAATAGGAAGGGAGGATAGAATAGAATAGGAAGGAAGGATAGGATAGGATAGGATAGAATAGGAAGAAAGGATAGGATAGGAAGGATAGGATAGGATACGATAGAATAGGAAGAAAGAATAAGATAGGACAGAATAGGAAGGATATGATAAGAAGGAAAGATAGGATAGGAAGGATAGGGAAGAAGGATAGGATAGGATAGGATAGGATAGGATAGGATAGGATAGGATAGGATAGGTAATAGGATAGGATGGATGGATATGATAGATGGATGGATTTTTCAATATTGTCTGCACTACTCTTGACCTTCTATGAGGCTAGTACTATCATATTGATTTTTTTTGAAAATTCAAAACGTCATAACTTTTGAACCGGAAGTCGGATCGAAATTTGGTTTGCAGATTTGGATTCCTGAGAAAATTCTACCCTTAGTTTATATGTCATACGTTGAATTTGGAGAACTTTTTGTTGTGACCTACTTTCTGGACGCCATATTTAAAAATCGGTAAGAGTAATCAAAAATCTAATGTCATATGTTTGCTTCGGCTTTTTCTAAGCTACATGATGAAAAAAAGATTTAGGAGTTACGATTAACAACGACGGAGATAAATGACAGAATGTTGAAAATGTAAGATTTGACCTAGTTCTAGACCTTTGACCTAGATAAAAATTTGACTCAATTTCCGAGAAACTAGATCTAGGACCTAAATGGACCATATATAGGACTTGACTCAATATCTTCTAGTTAACGAGAAAACTGGGAAAGAATAATAAAAAAAGAATAATAAGAATACTGACGAAAACAATAGACAGCATCGAATTAGTAGGACATGATCTCCTAGTAAAAGTATATTCGATCCAAATCCTTCTTGTATTTAATATTCACCGATTTGGAGGAAATAAATATATTGAGCTAAACTCATCTTAAAAATGTCAACGACTGGTTTAATAACCTCACATGTATCTAGTTATTACCCTTTGCATTCGTTCGACTTCACTTCTTAAAGAGAGCTCCGTGTAGTTTAACTAGACTCTGCACGCAGGGTACGTAGTATTTACAGTGGCGTCCGATACCTCCATTTTGTTTTGGCAAGATACAATTGAATTTGAAAAAGTTAGACAGTTTGATCTATGTTAAAATAATGGTGAATCTTTTACTCAATAGATATCCTGAAATCTGAAGGCAAGGTCATGATTTTAATATTACATTTGTTTAATAAAATTCAAATCAAGAGTTAACATCTTTCTGAAACTCAGACAATCTCTGCTATGCTCAAGAATAGAAGGAAACTGAGAGAAGGCGGTGATATCTCACGATGAGTTAACATATATTTAGCTAAGTTTAAGGGCAAATCTTAACACATCTTTAAGGAACATATGCATCTTTTTAAAACGAGCTACTTTAGGGAGATAGACTTAAGAGTTCACACAAACGTTACATCTTGCTTCATCAAGCTTCGAACCCCTCCTCACCTCGGGATAGAACGTAGTGATTGAGCGTGGGAACCGACGATCCAAAGTTCACACAAAGATGTCAAATTCTGAAACATGCAATTCCCACAATTTATAAATACTGAGATTATGATTTTTCTAAAAAACTCCAAATCAAAATATTTTATTTGGTATATAATTTTATAATAGAGGAGTGTTCATTCATAATGACCTTAAATTTAGTTATTGAATTGAAGAATTATTAATAGTACAAAAAAGTCTTTAGAGCTACTTAATAGAAGCGGCAGTTGATAATTAGTTTTGTATAGTACCCATTTGTTCTTTCTTTGAATTGAAAATATAAAATTCAAAATTCAAATTCAAGTCCAAGTACAGGTGACCCCAAAAACGTCACCCCTTAATTTGGGAATAAATATATCTCCGTTTTAAAGGACTTTTCATGATTTTTTGTGTAGATAGAGAGTTTAATGCATAAATCATTGGAATTTACCTTATAAGCAGTCAGTGCATCATATCATATAAGGAGTTAATAAAAGGACCCTTGTTTAACAATTAATAAAACTTCAACGGACTTTGGTAAAATAAATTAAGGACTCTCTATATCATGTATATTACTATTTCAAAGTATTGAACAGTGGTTCTGAAACAGGACATAATTTTAAAATCTTTAATTTTGGTTGACACTAGATACAGACCATCCTCGTTCATAGGATATTTCAATTCTTTCCATAGCTGCTACAATAGAAGCCCGATCTTTGAGGTTTGCGTTGGCTTACAAGTTTGATTTCCAATGATAACTTCACCTTGAATTGATAATCCATTATGGCAAAAGTTGTCATGAATTAATATTTGTTTTATATGATTCAATGGAAATACAGTATTTTTATGAGAGATAAACTGCAGTAAATGGTTGTTGAGTTTAATTCAATATATCGTTCAACGTTGATGTCACCTGAACAATCATTCAAAAATTCTAAAATAAGTAGTAATTACAATTTCAGATATTGGAGTTACAAGATGTATATTCACCCTAGGGATAAATTATATTTCAGGTTGCCAGGCATGGCAAGGCTACGCCCCAGAGCATGGATTAAGCTTATATTGTCAACGATGATGATAGGCGTGATCTACTACCAAGCAAAGCTATTTACAGGATGTCCGGGTGAGTCAAATTCTACAAATGAAAGATCGTTAATCTTTTTTATTGACGAAATTTCGCTTTTTTGATATCTTTCATAATTTCATTAAATATCTACTACGCAAAATGTTTATTGGCGAAACAATATGGTATCGCTTTACGTGTTTTAGACATATGAATCATTATCCGATCGCTAAAAATGTCATTAATTTACTGCATTAATTATCTGAAGAGTTTGAATTCGAAGAAAATTCAAATGAGGGTTAATTTTATTTTCTTAAATGTCTGTAAGGGGTACATAACAATTGTTTAAACAATAAAAACAGACTATTTGCTGGATAAATAGATGGTAGCACGTGTAATGGTAGAAAATGGTAGGGCCAGAATACACGGAGGCATATGACAAGAATCACTTAATGTTTTGATCTATCAGATATTTCAATTTGGATTTATAAAAAACATCATTGGATTTACTTTACGATCTTGTTGACATATTACCATTCTTTATATACTCAGGCAGGCAGTGAAAAAGTGTAAAACAGGCGGTGTCACTATTTTCTTATTTACCATCGCTATCCTGCCCAAGCAAAGTGGGCAAATTAAGGCGTTTTGCCGCCAGGTCATACCTATCTTCAAAATGATGTAGTGAAATATTTTCATGGTGAAGATTTATTTCACTTTACATTTAATGAAAGTATCTATTTAATGAAAGTATCTACTAAAGCCTTCTAAAAAACAGAAACAATACATTCACGGTACCCAACAAACGGCTATGTTCGAGATGATCTCCTAATGAGAGTATTTGAAATAAAGCGATGGCGAATGAGCTATCGGAAGGTGTACGTATTGCATTATTATATTTACCCATAAAATTCACATTTGCAACCATAGTATTCCTTTACATCAATCATGTGTTTACTAATATATGGCTATTGGATACGTTTAAGCCTACAGTTAAGAGTATATTAGATCATTTTTTCCAATAATATGTAGTAACTGTTCATACATGGCATTATTTCATTATTGATACAGATGTTTTTCAAAAAATGCCTTTTTAATCAAATTTTTAAAACAGACTGTTTTACCAATTGTTTTGACTGAATTATTATTCCATAGGATTGATTTATCAATGCGGGATGGAGGTTTATACTTCTGTCAGCAACTTTGCAATTTGCCATAACATTCTGCTAATTTATTGCTATTAATATAGTGTCTCTATTTGTTACAATTAAAATAGTCAATTACACAAGCATAAATGTTACAATAAAATGTCGACAGACACCACCAGTGTTGACTTCCAGTATAAACAACATGTTATCATGATTTTATCAACATTTTATTTTGATACAAAGGCAGTCTGTTATTTTAAACATATTCAGCATAGAAATGATATTATCTACATGATAAAAATCACGGAGATAAATAAACATAGATTTAAATACATGGAAATCAGGAAATAGTGTTCCAGTGTACACGTATTCTCAATTGAATTTTTTCTTCCAGCTGGCATCTACTGTCCAAAACGCCAAATGGTCGCCATGAACGTGGAAGGTGCAAGCGTTGTATTCCCAAATATATCTAATGTTCGTATTCTTCAAAAAACGAACGTGTTAAAAAACATTTCCATCTCTAAGGTAAGTAACTTACGGATTCAGTCTGGCCCATTATCTGAGTCATAGTTTTAATGGTTATTTATTTTGATCATAAGTACATCAGATCTTGAATTATATCATATCATATCATATCAAACTCTTACTCAAAATACAATTGATTCCCTTGAAAATTAAAAATAGAAGAAAACAGCAAAGAATTATTTATTCAATGTTACATACGAGTTAATGCGAGGTAGCCAATTAATAATTGATTAATTAATTATTGGTTCCAATCGATTTTATTAATGTCAAGATATATTTTTATTTCTGTTTGAATCGCCGTCAATTAAATCTTTAAATTGATACACTGATAACAACAAAATTGTCAACAGCTTTTCATGAAAGATCAAAGGTATATTATTTGATAGGAATTGATAAAACCTGGAGTTGCCCCCCAAGCCCATCCAAATATTCCGAATGCGTTTTGTTGAATCATTGCGTTTGGCCACGTCTCCTGATGATCGTCTAAGCTCTTAAACCATTGCTCCTGTATAAGCATATGTATTTTCATCATTACAGACCTCCTGAATTTCTGTTCATTCCAGGGAATCTAAAGCGGACAGTATGTCTCCAGGAAGGTGTTGAATACGTTTCTGCATTCAATGACACTGCAACTGCAGCTACATATTCATTAGGGCCGTGTTCAAAGCATTTGATAATCGTTGCAGATAAATTTGAAAGCGTGGAAAATCGTATGCAAAATCGTTTTTATGTCACATCAGAGATGTCGATTGTATCATTAGAGAGAAATCAAATGTCTCGCGATTGCTTTGAGTACAAAGGACAAAATGTATATTCACAGGAACCCGAATATTAAGGTTAAGTTTGAGTGCCTGGTGAAAATTGCAAAACAGTTTTTGATTATTAATCAGATCGTACATTTAATAAGTTTTTTGTTTTTGAAAAATTACAAATTCACAATGACACAACGGTTAATCTTTAATATTAATTAATACTTTATTACGACATAAGAGTATTTTAAAAATCAAATCTCTTATAAAATAAAAGTGTGTACCATATAGTCTTTCATATATATGACATTGACATTTGACATTGACAGATGATCAGTAAATAATAAGTACTACTCTATTTAGACCTGGGAGAGGTCAAAATAACAATCTGCATCTAAAGTAAAATTGAACATAGAAATTGCCAACTTGTTTGGAATGTTGTTCTAGCCGTGGGCTGTTGAAAGCCCATGTTCTAACATGAGAGTACTTAACAACGAACATGAAAGAGACATCTCTCTCATGCCTCGATCAGTACGTCATTTGCTATATGAGCCTGGTCATAGAAAAACTGGTCTTATCACAAAAATTAGAATTGTGCTACAGAGCCAAAAATGTGCACAAGATTAAGAGGAGCTAAATTCAAATCGGACTTTTTGGTCTAAATATGCAAGGAAAAATTGTTAAGACATAAGCCATGGCTCATTTGAAAGGTGTCTTTGTGCTTTCTAAGATGAACAAAAAATCAGAATATTGAAAATATCTGTGATAAGACCCCTTTTCCCGTGGCCTGGCTCATATATCAAATTAGAATTTAAGACATTATCATAAAAGCACAGGCTCAAATATGGTTCTCAGCAAGTGCAATTGCGTATTATTTGTGCAGAAAATGTATGATTTGATATACTTTGTTTTTAGACGAGTGTAAGAGTCTCCAAATTGCGTATTATTTGTGCAGAAAATGTATGATTTGATATACTTTGTTTTTAGACGAGTGTAAGAGTCTCCAAATTGCGTATTATTTGTGCAGAAAATGTATGATTTGATATACTTTGTTTTTAGACGAGTCTAAGAGTCTCCAATGAGTTTGGTGAGAGTCCGGACAAACCACAGGCACATATCGTTGGGAGAATACGTAAAAAGAAAGGTATGTGAATATATCATAACATGACAAGAAATGTACGGTTCAATATATGACAAGAAAGGTATGTTACTATTTCAGTATATGACAATTAAGTGCATGTGGCTATTTTGATACGTGACAAGAAAGGTATATGGATATACATGACAAGATATATAAGGGTTATGTACTGGGAGGTTTGGATATGGGGTTTATCCAGAGGGAGATATGCATATCTTCCTGAGGGACCATAGGGACGAACCCCATATCCAAACCGACCGTACATAACTGCTTTATCCTATACTGAGTAGAGTTTTCAGGGGCATATGGCCATTTCAATAGTACAAGGTGTAAAATTAAACAAATCAAGTCATTTTATTGCATTATCGGAAGCGGGAAGATTTGCACCGAAGCGGGAGACATGGCGGGAGATATGGAGGTTCTGGATATGGAAACCTAAAAATCTGGATACGGGATATATCTTACCAACTTATCTCCCTAAAACTCTACTTGGCATAGGATAAGTATGATTATTTGACGACACGTGTTTTAATATGACAGGAAATGTACAACATAATATTTTCGTTTGTTTTTCAGGATATTTAACAATAGGAATACCTTCAATTAAACGTGATATCGAGAGCCCATATCTACTCGTGACCCTACAATCTCTAATTGACAATACATGGGACGATGAAAAGGCTGAAATTGTTATAGTCGTGTTTTTGGCCGATTCAGATTACGATTACAACAATAGGGTGGAACACATGATTATTAAAAGATTCGGTGAATATCTTGATAGCGGTTTTATACGAATCATGCAAGCTGAAAAAGCCATCTATCCAGCATTACAAAAATTAAAAAGGAACTTCAATGATTCTGCAAAACGTGTTGAGTGGAGGTCAAAACAGGTTGTTGATTTTGCGTTTATGTTCATGTACAGCCGGGAAATATCCGAATACTACATTCAGATAGAGGACGATGTGAAAACAGCTCCAAATTATTTTACAGGGATAAAGAGTTATGTAACAACTGCAAACAAAGGAAAATCTCAGTGGGCATTATTAGAATTCTCAGTGCTTGGCTTTATTGGAAAACTATTTAAATCCTCAGATCTCGAGAGCCTTTCAAAGTTTCTGCTTTTATTTTACGATGAACAGCCAGTTGACTGGTTGTTTCGGTACTTTAGCTTGTCGAAAACACAATCAAACAAGCTTGTTCGAAATCCATCATTATTTCAGCACTTGGGACTACATTCGTCGTTAAAAGATGGCGTGCAAAAAGGCCCGAAAAAAGACAAAACAAAAGGACTCAATACTTTATCTGATAAAAACTTTGATGATGGTACAAAAATATTACATGGTGATAACCCCCCTGCACACGTTATAACGTCATTAATAACGTACAGCAGATACGTACCGGAAATGTCATATTGGAAAAAGGACGGCTACTATTGGTCCGAATCTCCTAAAGCAGGGGACAGTATTTACGTCATTTTTAACCAACCAGCCCGGATTAAGAGCGTTCATATTTTAACAGGAACAAATGCTCATAAAAAAGACATACTTAAAAACGGAAGGGCGGAGATAGCTGAGGAATTATTATCTTCACCTGGATCGAAAGTAAAGTGTTCCCCATTTATTCCCATCTGCGAGTTTACCAAGGGGGAATGCATCTCAGATTCAAAGGTTTTTCAAAACCAATCTTCAACAAAATGTCTCAAAATCATTGTAACGTCAGATCAAAATGAATGGCTCGCTGTTAAAGAAATTGCAGTATTCGTAGATTCGAACTAATAACCGTTTACTCGGTGATTGTGTGAATTTTCTACATTGAGATTGCCTCACTATTCATGTGCGCTTTATGTTACTCAGGATTCAGGAACATATTTGCCAGTTATGTAACAACAATGCAAGTCTTTCAAACTAAAAACAAGCAACCTACGCACTACATTGCAATATCATGATATGTAAAAATACATTCATATTAACGTGTAAAATGTATATCAAATGTATATCAAAATGCATATGAAAATGTATATCAAAAATGTGTGGTATTCTGACATATTTCAATGCTTCAATTCTATGACAGTCGTTTTAATTTTGGAAAAACCATCATGGCTGAAACTCCCACAAGAAAAAGTCAAATGTTAATTGCATATAAAACTACTAGATCTGAAACATTTTGGATCTAAGTTATGAATTATTTTTCCATATAATGGACTGTGGTCCTTTAATTTGCTTACTTTAAGGATAGATAAAGGTTTCATCCCTGTACGTGTCATCATAAATAGGGTAAAAGTCCAATGTATGAATATGTGTTTAATTCTTATGAATGCATGTTCTTTTTTGATTTATAAATGATGTTTTTGTACGCAAGAATGTTGATTTTAAAATGTACACTTTTCTGAGGTCACAAGACTATGCCATAATGAGTCATTACTTCATACCATCTTATATTTGTATATCATAACGGTTACGAAAGCTCTCTTAAATACGTTTAAGGTAGCAACACAGTATAATGAAGTGTAGTTTATTTCTAAGAGTGTACAGTTGTAACAAAGAAGAGTGTATTATTTTTCTATTGTTTTTAAAGAATTCACACTTGGCCATGTTGGTAAGCTATCCAAAACCAGTGTGTCAAACAGACGATTGACTGTCACAAGCAGTGCACCAAAGCTGAACTAATTACACCCTATTCACTTATTCAATAGAATAGTAAACACAAACGAAATCAAATTGTACCTGGCCTTTCACATGCAGTGCTGAACTAATTACACCCACTAACTTCTCAACACACTTACCTCTCATGGTAAATGCAAAAGAAATCAATTTTCCTAAAATTGGATCACGGTCTATTTACCTTTCAGAAGAGTCAGTGTGGGGTTTAAGTTAGATAACACATTCGTATTGGGTCTAACAAGAACAATTAGTCTCGGGCCAAGACATTCGGCTATCATTTCTGATAAAACCCAGTACTCATAGTTTATCCATTACATTTTGATGGATCCTTTACATTTTCACTGCCTCGCACTTAAGTTTAGAAAACGAACAGTGGACGACATGATGTGTTGGACCTGGGGTGGAGAAGAGAATGTTTGCTAATATTAGTTCCATGAAAACAAAAATTGGGGCAAGTGAGCATTTAATATCGATAGCTTTTGCTAATTACTATGATGGAAATTTTGAAACTTCTTTCCACACAAAAATTTAAAAAGTGGATTTGGACATAATTCTAAATTCTTCAATAACGTTCACATTTCATGAGATACCTCAATTCTTTTTACAAGAAAGTAATGATTTAAGGGAAACATTAGCATAGTTCACACCCGGTACCCCTTCTAATTCCTTTGAGTTGAATCTATACTGGGTGATACAGATGTATATTTTAGTATTTATTGTTAACAAGGGCTTTATTTTTATCATTCGGTAGCAAAAGTGCAATTATAATGTTTATTGCAGCTGTATGACTGTACAGCTTAATTACAATTACAACTTTTATTGCAGCCGTGTGGCTGTATATCAAAAGTGCAATTATAATGGTTATTGCATCTGTACTTGTTTGACTGTATAGTCTAAACTGCAGTAATGTCTATTGCAGATGTGTTGTTATAGCTAAAGTGGCATTATGACATTTATAGCAGCTGTATTGTTGAATTGCTAGGGTAACATTAAAATGTTGTTTAATGTTGTTTAGCTATAGATGTACGGTAATGTCTATTGCAGGTGTATGTATGGTGTATATGTATGGTATGGTCTAAAGTGTCAATATGATGTTTATTGCAGCTGTATTGTGACATCACAATGTTAGTTCCAAAATGGTTGCTTTGGCTATTACGATGCGGTAATGTCTGGTCTATTGCAATTATTGGGCAGTATAACAAAAGTGGTATTAAAATGCAAATTAAAGCTGTTTGACTGTTTAGCTAAAGCGACTTTAGAAATTCGGAAAGTAATTGTAAGCTATACTTGTATTACACTTTCATCTACAGTTTTATTGTTGTATAGAGTCCATTTCACTGCTTCATTTCGTCAGTAGAACGGCAAATATAAGAAATTGGGAGACCATTGTGCAATAATATATGGAAAAGTATATTCATAATGTACATGAATGACATTTGTATATCTTGGATTGCTTCTAGTTTGGCTTATAAAGTGTGTGGCCTCTTATATTTGGATGTTTCTCTGCCATGTTATTTTCAATAAGATTAACATGGCTGAAATTCTTCAAATTACAATACGGCACAGGCTTATTGCACAAAAAACTAAAAAATCTGAAATATACAAATGTCATTCATGTACATTATGAATATACTTTTCCATATATTATTGCACAATGGTCTCCCAATTTCTTATTTTTGCCGTTTTACTGACGAAGTGAAGCAGTGAAACTAATGGACTCTAGCTAAATTGTAAATAAATTATATTGTCGTTTACAGCTTGGGCTAAATACAAAACACTCAATCGTTGGGGCGCCGGCCGACGAATCGGAGCAAATGTGACGCAAGCATAGCTGTACGTCTAAATCCATAATGATATATTGTTATTTTCAAATGCATGACTCTAGTAGTGTTATGTTACATTATTTACAGCTGTATCGATGTAAAGCTAGGGTTGTAACTATGGAATTATATTGTTGTTTACAGCTTGGGCTAAATACAAAACACTCAATCGTTGGGGCGCCGGCCGACGAATCGGAGCAAATGTGACGCAAGCATAGCTGTACGTCTAAATCCATAATGATATATTGTTATTTTCAAATGCATGACTCTAGTAGTGTTATGTTACATTATTTACAGCTGTATCGGTGTAAAGCTAGGGTTGTAACTATGGCATTATATTGTTGTTTACTGCTGTAAATAACTGTACGTCTAAACCGGTATATTATATTGTTATTTTCAAATGCATGGTTTGAGAAATGTCAACATATAGCTGTTAGGCCGTAAAGCAAGAATGATAGTGTTTTATACAGTCAGCTGTTTCTTTTATAGATAGAGTGGTTTTACAAAGTATTATGCAGCTGTTTGTTTGCATTGACAGTATTGCAGCTATTCGGCTGTATTGTAAGAGTAGTGTTTCAAAGTTATTCACAGCTGTTCAACTGTTTCTTGTATGGATAGAGGTTTTGCAGCTGTAAGGCTGTATAGTTAGATAAGCGTTGTAATGTTATTTACAGCTGTTTTGCTGTAAAACTAGAATTGTATTATAATGCTTTACACAACTGTTTTTTGTATGGGTAGAATTTTTGCAGCTGTATGGCTGTATTGCAAGGGCGATATCATAATGCCATTCACCAAGTCAATTGGTAAAGTTCAGTTGCTACAAGCAAGCAGTATTTAGTTACTATGGTCACCGTATCTAATTTAATTATCTCATGGAGAATAGTGGAGAAACATATGGATATGTACCTTGAGAGATTAACTAGTTTTGTTTATTTAATAAAGTTCCACCTGTTTTGCATATAAAATATTTGATTGTTGTTACGCGGTAAACACGATACAAATATATGTTATATTCTGTAACGGAATATGGCAAATTCACTTGCGGTGTATGACAGATTCACCTGCGGTTTATGGCATACACACACACTAACACCCCAGTCACATTTCCTGCGGCCGCCGTGCGGTCTATCATTTCTGCGGCCAGTTGCTTTTCTACGCTCGCCGCAGAATTTCTGCGCTCTCATACTTTTGCAGTCACATTTCCCACGGCAGCCGCACGGTGAATTTTAAATTTCTGTCGATAAATAATACTTTTTTCATTTTATTTACATCAGGACAATTTATAAATGTTATTCATAGTGCTAGGATGTAATATCAAATGAAAAGTGATCGTGAAACATTGACAAATAATGATTCAATCTTGTTGAGCCAGTTGATTTCTACGGGGACCTCAGAAATGAACAAATATTATAACTCCGAGTTATAATTTCTACGCCTTCCCTGCGGCCTGTAAAAATCTGCATTCGCCGTACGGAGGCCGAAAGGCGAGCGTAGTTTTTCTACGCTCGCCGCAGAAATTCACTGATTTAATTGTTCTGCGGTCGACTTGCGGCCGCCGTGCGACAAATGTGACTGGGGTGTAACCAAAGAGAATGCGATACGCAAGTACTCATTTGTCAATTACATCGATTCAATGAACGGGTAAAAGTCTATAAATTATCATAATGATTACTGAATCAACAGGTCAGTACATTGAATATATGAATTAATGAATAACTAATGAACTATTGAATAACATACACCAGTGGTACCCGTATTGTTTGATGCTGGTTAATGTATGTGTTACACCCAAAAACACACTTCAAGGGAAACATTATTACACATAAATAAACGAACCTAAGTTCGCGAAGCTTATGAGTGACTTTTACAACCAAATCAACAGTTTACAAAGACCAGATAAAAACTTGAAAAACACGAGTATTTGATCGCGGTTAATACGTTACTGATACTTCCACAAGTATAATTTACCGATCACACGTAATAAACTTACTCAATCACTCCAGGATTCATAGTTTAATATTCGAAGCGATAAAAACAATGGCAATCCATTACAGTTTTACATTCAGTGTTGATTCTTGAAACCAATCAAATCAAGGCAATTTTGTATGGCGTTCGCCGCACGGTAAATGCCATATTCCGCAACGTATATGTCATATTCTCCGAGTGAATATGTCATATTACACAGGTGAATATGGGGTATTAACTATATCATATTTCAATGCGGAATATGCCATTCTCACTTGCGAAATATGTCAGATACCGCAGTTGAGTATGCCATACTCGCACTTGTCTCACAAATACCACGCAACCATAAATGTATGCCAATATCGCGTAACAGTTGTACATCTTGTAGTTCATCGCGAAAACATGCGCAGAACGATGATTTCGGGCGTATATGGTGATCTTAAATGTCAATGTTTATTGTTAATAATGCAATTGACATTTTGTAAAATTCATATGTGAGCTTGTGAATTTCATCATTAGAAAATATACCTTCATTTATATGAGCATTAACTTAATGGAACGTCTAGTAAAACACATGGACACCAAAACGAATACCCCCTTGGTATGACACAAGTTTTTCCAAGCAGTCAAAACGGTAATACACACAGAGTATGGACAGTTGAACACGCGGGGTAAGGTACAACACGAGGATGATACAATTCAAGCAGACTGATGTTTTCATCTTTTCAGAAAGATCTGGGCTATTTTCTAGATATTTTATATGTTAGTGTCTGTAACAACATCATGGACAGTGAACTTGAGAGTGAATTTCATAATTTAACTTACACAAACTACTCCCAATGCAACAAAAGGTATAACGCGCGGTAACGCTAAGGTATACTCGTTTCCCAGTTTGATTTTCGATCATGAACACATCATACCTTGGAAATCCAAGATGACGCTAATTTACAACACAAGGAAAGTGAATTTGCGTTATACAGTATCTCAGGTAACTTTACCGCGTTATGCCGTATACTACATTTGGAGTTTGTGTAGGTTTAGTTATGAAATTCAATGTCAAGGTCACTGTCGAGGATGTCCTCAGAGAAAACGCAACAAACAAAAACATTGTAAAACCATAAACCCAGTG